AGCTGAAGAATTTTAGAGTCTTTATTCATCTAAAATTAAATAATGATTAACCTATTATATGCTTGGATAAATAACATTTTTTAATGAAAAATAACGGTTTCTTCCAAAACAAAAAATAGTGAAAATAATGTTATTGATTTACTTTTTTAGTGTGAATGTCTTTTGTGTCTGGCGTAAGAGAGAACAGCTGGAGTCTTATATGTGCTTCTTCATTAAATCTTTTGCAACATCCCATTTCAGATAGCATTTGTAACACTCCATTGTGTACTCATAAGAGAATGATTCTGAAAAAGGCAAATAACATCTTGGTATTATTAGGGAGATAGTTGTGACCTTGGTGATCCCCCGAAAGGGTCCTGAAGTCCTCCACAGGTCCCCAGACCACACTTTAAGATCACTTATCTTGGGCAAGATTAGCCTCAAGTATGCTAAGGCTTGACCCTTCTGGGATCTCAAATGAATGTGCTAGATATTTGAGGAGGTATTTGTACTCTGCACTTTGGTTGTTGGGAACTCTAGTGATTCCCTACCCTTTGTGACCTCTGGGAATTGTTTAGCTTACTGCTTCCCAGTAATTGTTCCTTTCCCAGCAACTGCTGTTCTTTGCTTGTCTTTGTAGAGTTTCACCCTGTGCATGTACAGGACACTGTGCAGACTTTTGGAGTTTTTCCGTGGGATAGCTCCTTCCTCAACTTAGTGAGACTGAAAGATTCTCTTAGGCTGTGCCCTCCCTGCATTGCAGTCTAGAGAATGCCTTCAGTCAGAAAGTGCAGTTGTTCATAGGGCTCACCTCATTCATATCCATTCTCACAGGATTCTTAATGGTGCCTGCAGATTGTTGTTTCATATGCATTGTCAGCATTTAGTTGTTTATGGTGGGGGGAGGGGCAAGTCCTGTAGCAGTTATTTCTTCGTGTGCAGACATCTATGATTGTTTGGGTTTTGTTTTTAACCATATCTGCTGAAACAATTACACTGAGGTCTTATATGTCCTATTAAAACATGATATTTGTTGTCTTAGCCTTCAGTAAAAACTTTCATTTTAGTATTCTGTTCATGTTGATGAAAAATAACTTTTACACAAAGGGGACATTTTCCACCATTGTATGAGGAACAAAGAAGAATGTAGTCATTTATTATATATGTAACCATTTGTTTGCCTTTTGTTTTAGGCAAGTATGTGGGCTCTTTATGTCTCAGCCTCTTAGTAATAATGTATCTAGCATGTTAACAGGAAATGATAAACAGAATATTATAACAATTTTGTTTTTTAGTTTTAAGTTTTGGACCTCAGGAGTTAGTAGGTACTCTTACATAGGGTAGTCATAGATACATAGATTCAAATTCTGGCTCTGTGCTCTACTAGATATGTAAATGAGACTGTTTGCTTACCCTGAATCTGAGCCTCTGTTTCCTTATCTGTAATATGGGCATGATAATGCTATATTAAATAGGAATGAGAACTTCTGGTAACAGAGCTGCTGCTGCTGCTGATTTGTGTGTGTGTGTGTGTGTGTGTGTGGTAATAGAGTGTCTAATAACAGTGCTTTAAACAAGGTGGAAATTTATTTTCTCTTTCTGTTCATATGTGAAGAACTTGGCAATTCAGGAGTGGTATGACAGCCCCACAGTGTATGTATTGTGAACCTAGATTCCTTCTCTTTCCATTCTACCATTCTTAGCTCAGGAGTTGTATCCTCAAGGTCACCTCCTAAGTCAAGGTACCTACTGGAATTCTACCTCTCATGTTCATATCCCAAGCAGCAGGAAGGAGTAGGTGGGGGAAGGTAAAAGGGGTATATCTTCCTTTAAAGAAATGTTACAAAATATGCTCATTTTATTCAAATCTTACTGGCCATAACTTAGTCATGTGGTTTTATCAGGCTTTAAGGGAAGCTAGGGAATATAGTCTTTTAGCAGGATACTATGAAGAAGGAAGGGAAAGGGACTGTTAGGTTGGCATCCAGGAGCATCTGTCACTATTGTCTTCTCTTGCAATTTCATGGGTTCCCAGTGAGTTGAGAAATTATCCAGGAGTCAGCAGGTGGAGACCAAAATATCACCCTTGTAAAACTGACAAAGCTGATTCTTGAGAAAGGGGCTTACATCTGTAGTTAAGTATGTTTCCTAATATTGAACCCTAGCATTAAACAGACTTGTCCATCCAGTCCATGAAAGTGCTAGGCCAGGTAGAGCCTGTCCCTATTAAATTTGTGGCATGAAGGAACAAAGTCAATGTGTGTGTCCTGTCAACAGCTCTTTCTCAGCAGAAAGGGAGGGTGGGTGAGAACTAGAGAGGCTGGGAGTGTTACTTATGTCATCAGAAATGGGGAAGTGTTACCCTTTCCCTTCTCCCTTCCTATGATACTTTATCCTAAGAGTTTAGCATGATGTTTGGCATTGAGTAAGCATTCAGTATATGGTGCTTATTATTATAATGATGATTTGAGCAATTTGAGTAGCCACCATGATGTCTCAGAATCTGTGCATTTAATCTTCCCACATATGTTGCTGTTTGACGCGTAACATGGTTTCTGTGTAACATTTTTTTTTTTTACTTCACCATGAGATAAAATTGGTAAATAGTTTTAAAAGGCTGTATAGGTACCTTTTAGAGTAACAGTTTTTAAACTTTTGGTGAGGTCGCAGTTTCATTTGCAAATGTAATGAAATTATGTAGATAGCATAAATTATACATATGCTTTCTGGGAATACATGGATCTTAAGAATTTATGGCAGATAAAATTTAATGAACTACAAATACCTCCATATTACTGTAAACTGGTATCAATGACTGTTGAATAAGTACAATTAATTAACAGGAAGGTGAGAGTGGTTAAAGATCATGTGAGGCAGATGGAACAGACAGATGTTTCAACTCCAACTGTGCCCACCTACTAGTTATTATTAACCTGGGTGTTACTGTTTTTCTTGTTTTAAATCAGTAAAATGAAGGTGATAATAGCTTCTATATCCAAGGGAGAGGAGTAAATGAAATAATACATATAAAGCCTTACTTCTGGGCCAGAGTATCTACTTGCTCTTTTTTACTGTTGCTGTTGTTTTTATAGTCATTATTGTTGTTACCCTTCTTTGCCTTTCTGACCTCACCCTGATTATCTTGCAGGTTTCAGTGACTAAGTTATCTTGAATTTCATAACTCGGAGATAAAATTATTCTGAGCAAACAGCTTGGTCCTTTAGATCTGTTTTTGTTTAAAAAAGAAAAGCAAAAGTCCTCAAGAGTAATCTTCATGATCTTTGATCTCTCCGTAATAAGAAAGAACTTTCACAGCCTGCTTCTGGCTCATCAGGGAAACGATCTTTTGTGTGCCCTTCAAAATTTCCCCTTCTTCCCTTGCTTCCTCTCATGTCTCCTTCCTGGCCCACCAGAAAGAGAAAGATGTCAGTTTGATACCTCTGGCCTCTTCTGAAAACCTGGTAATGGTATTTATCCTGTCAGCAGTTCCTGGGTATTTAGTGTTTTACATCTTGATCTGTCTTTATTATTTGAGGAAAAGTCCTTAACTTTCCCCATTCCTTTCTGATGAATAGCTTGGGCTATAGAAGTTTGGTCCCCTCACTAAGAGCTACAGATCCCCTGCTGTTTTTATAGGTTGACTTTTGACACAGACTACTTCTGTTCAAGGAGCTCATTGTTACTAAGTTAGTGCCAGTTTATACCACAACTTAACTTTTAAAGCACATTTAAATAGACTTCTTAATGGTTTCTTTTGGTTGATGTTTAAAATTGTCTAGTGGGTTTTTTTTTTTTCTAATGACCCAAATAGCACATGCTCAATGTAAAAAAGTATTCAGAAAATATATAAACCATGAAGAAAGCTCTCCCATAGTTCTACTCCTCCAAACTAGTCACTTCTACTTTTTTTTATATGATTCTATCTATATGTATATATATAAATATATGTAACATATATACCTATACATACATATAGGTTTATATGCCTTTAAAGTTTTTTTTTGTTTTCCCCAAAATGCGATCCTTCTATATATATACTGTTTTGTATTCTGCTTTTTTCCCTATGTATGTGTGTGATTGTTTTAAATAGTTGTATAGGATTTCATAGAATAGATATAATTTACTTAGCTAATTCCCTTTTGAGATGGATATTTAGGTTGTTTATGATTTTTTAGTAATTTAACCCAGGATGGTAAACATTTTTCTGCATCCATTTTTGAGTAGTTGTGTTTTTTTTTTTTTTTTAGTGCATTCTTAGAAGTTTAATTCATGTGTCAAAGGCTGTGTACCTACTAACTGGTTATGAAAGTAACTTTTTCTAATCAAATTTCGGTATTATCAGTCATTTTTAATATTTTTCAGTGTGATAACAAAACTAATGTCTGAGTGTTTTAATTTCTATTTCTTTGATTTTAGAGATTAAACATATTTTCGTGGTTTTTGGCCACTTGCATTTTCCTGAGATTAATTTTGTGTTATGTAGTCTTACTAATCTTCCTAAGATATGTATATTTTAAAAATGGCAGAATTTTATTTCTTGTTTTAAGAGATTATATTTTAAAATTATAGTATATATGCTATAAATATATATTATAAAATTATATTACAAATGATTTTGTTTTTGCTGGACTTAATTTCTTACTTAGCTAGTTATTTTCAAGTATTGACATAGGAAATTAAATAATTAGCTAGTAAAGAAAACCAAGCTTGTTAGAATAATTTATTTGTCTAAAATACAAATGAATTGGACTGAAATTATTAATGCTTATTTGCACTTTAAGGTACCTATTTTGGTTTAACTTTTTAATTTGCTCACATCTGGTTCTTGACCATGTTCTAGATAAGAGATGCCTATATAACTGTGTATCTGTATTTTTACTTGTTCCTTTTCATCATTGTTAAAATGAAAGGAATTGGAAATTGTTGATTGAAGTACTCATTTTAGCAAACTGTGATCAGAAGATGCTTGGATATAATCCTTCCACATGATAAAGAGCATGTTTTTATTTTATTGCTTTTAGAAGAAAAACAACAGTGAAGACATTATGTATTTATGCAGACTACAAATCTGATGAAAGCTATACTCCAAGCAAGATTTCAGTCAGAGTAGGAAATAATTTTCACAATCTTCAAGAAATTCGGGTATGTCTTTCACATTTTAAAAAATATGTTATCCTGTTACTCTTGCTCTTTAGAAAATAGTGACATTTGACACTAGATTAGACAGATTAAAATGTTAATACATAAAAGGAAAATTATTAATATTTAAAAAAACACTTTTAATTTTTTATATTTAAAAATTTTTTTGAATTCCGATTGTCATCTTAGTTTTTTTCCAGTGTTTTATTATGGAAATTTTCAGACATACAGAAAAGCTGAATTGTATAGTGAGCTCCAGTATACTCACCTCCTAGATTCTGTAGTTATTAATGTTTTGCTATATTTGATTTATTATTATCTGTCCATCAATTCATCTAATTTTTATACTCATTTCAAAATAACTTGCAGATATTTGTATCTACCATCCCAAATACTTCAGCATAATATATGATAACTGGAGTTATGAATATTTGCTTCAGGTTTATTTTTTAAGGTATAATTTATATGCAGTTTCCACAAATCTTAAATATATTATTTGTGAATTTTCACAAATGCAAACATGTGTAACCCTGACTCCTATTAACATATAGAACATTTTCATTACCCCATAAAATTCCCTTATATCCCTTCCCAATCAATCTCCATGTCTATCCTACTCTCAGAGGTGTTGTTCTAATTTTGTTTGCTTATTCATTCATCCATCTATTCATTCATTCATTCATTCATTCATTATATAGATCAGTTTTGCCTGTTCTAGCATGTCATATAAAGGAATCACAGATGGTGTAACTTGTTGTAAGGCTTCTTTCATTCAGCCTAATTTTTTGACAGTCCATCCCCGTTGTTGAATGTAGCAGTACTTCATTTTTTTATATTCCTGAGTTACACTCCATTGTTTGAATATACCCCAATTTATTTATCTGCTGTATAACTTTTTGAAGCTATTAGGATAATGCTTTTGTGACCTGAATGTTATTAGTCCCCAAATATTTACATTTCAGAGATATTTTCAATGAGTTTGAACTTTGTAAAGTTCTGGCCCTTCACATTTTTTCTTGTCAGAAAGTCATTGAGCTCAAGTAATCATTAAAATCTTTTAAATTAGGTGATTCTGAGAGATCTGAGAAGCACCTGTGATTTTTGAAAGACTTCCAGCCAATTTGTGGCCTGGACTCTTATTTGACTTAGTGTTTATGAGACTCTGTCCCTACATTTATATTTCTTCCCTGAGTTAGTAATAAAATACTTAATAAGAATCACATATAGTTTGTGTTGACAAATAAGAATAAGTAAGGACATTGTCGCCCACAGGTATTTTGTTTTTTTGTTTTGTTTTTTCATCCTTTGAGGTAAGTTTGCAGCTTTTTTGAGATGACCACCTGGTCTTATTCTAGTTATCTTCCTTTAATTTTAAGGGATGATCCTATACATTTTCTTGACTACTAATTTGTCTTTGAAAAATCATGCTAAGATATTCTTCTTTTAGTTTAAAAATATTTATTTTGTTTGGCCATACTAGTTAATATGTACTTTCCATGCTTGAATAAATTCATAAATAGATTAGTTCTTCATTTTCTTTGTAAGTTTCTTCATTTAACCCAGTGCTTTTTTCATTCAGAATATTTTAGATTCTTTTTATTATCATAATTACAATGAGCCTTTTGCTAGCTCTTTTAGTCATATGATACATTTAATCAGTGTTTAGTGCTTTAAGGACTTGAGATATTCTTATACTTCTTTAAACATTTTGTATTTATCACATGATTGGGTTACTCATAGTGAGCAGCCTTTTGGGAGCAGAGCTGGCTTGTTTTGGTTTAAAGTTAAAGGTTTATCTTATAATCCCTCAGGCAGGTTGAATTATGTGACTGAAAGTTTTGATCCAAGATATGTGTGGCATATATTTGAAATGTCCACTAGATGTCACTGTTGTCCTTTAATTGCTAGTCTCATAATCTAGTTAAGACCTTAAGTAGTTAGTCTTCGTTGTAACTTGTTTTTCTCAGAGTATATATATTCAAATATTCTTTGATGCATTTTGGGAAGTGTACATATTCATACGTGATTTCTAGGTTTATGTACTAAATATATATTTTGTATTCTTTTGTAAATTGGATAAACTTGAAATGATATTTGGACCATTTCAGAATACTTTTAATCTAGTTTTTGCTTCTATTATATCATTTAAGTACTGAAACATTAGCCACATAGAATAAGGGCTCTTTTAGGTAGTCTCTTAATTTTATTCCAAGTATGTTTATATTTCTGTGTAGTGACCACATAGCCTCATGAGACCAGTAATACTAAATATTACCAGGTGATAATGTAAGTTGTTTTCCTGAAAAACTTAATGAACATACTGCTTTTCTGCCACAGTTCTCACTAAGGAACCATAATTTTTGGATTTTGCTTTAAAATATTAGTGCCGCCTTTGCAGCTCAGGATATAAAGTATATCTTTTAATTATACGTCTTTCTATGTGATTTATTCTGTTTACCTTTTTTCTAAGTTAAAGAAATAATCTGATATCATTTTGTTTTTTAAGGGAAGATAAGCAGATCATGCTTTTATTTTCTTACATTACTACTGTATAGGATATAAATTGTTATTTTTTAAAAATCTTCTAACTCAGATACTAAGACAAATGATTAAAATAGTGTTAACTTTTATGAGGTTTTTAGAGCCATCGTTTCATTAGTTATAGGACTGATTTAACTGAATGGAAAATCCAACTAAATCTTTTTATATTTTTCCATGGAGGGTTGCCCATGGGAGGGTGTAGTGTGTATTGGAGTGTTTAATGGGTTTTCCTTTTTTACTAGAAATTATGGATTTGTTTACTTGAAACACTCTAAAAACCTATTTTCTGTCATTATTGATTTGAGTTGGTAACTTTACAAAAATTTAGTTCAGGACAAGAAAAGCTAATGGCTACCCCCTATCTATCAAAAAATTATTCTTTTTCTATCATATGTTTTCCTTCATTTCAGTTATAAAACACACTATTCTATCTTGATCTTTGTAACCTCTGTTGAAAAATCTCTAAGAAGAGATCAGGCCTTCCCTTTTCTAGAATGCATATTTCAACCTCTAAACCTGAGGAGGGACTTATAATGGAAATAAAGTTTAGACTCTCTGCTTATATTATACTTACAAGATACTCAAACTAGGTTTGGTCAAATAGAATGCCTTTGATGCCAAAACTTCTCTTGAATAACGTCCTTGATAACATGATGAATTCATTTATGCCACTCATTCTACTTTTTTGTTTTTAAAATTGTCCATCCTATAGATACTGGGAACCAACAACCTAAGAATTTCATGAGATGCTTGTGATTTATTGCTTCTACACAAAGTACTTTTTTTTTAATTTTTTTTTTTTTTTTTTACACAAACTACTTCTGTGTAGAAGTGAGGACTTAGCATTTCAGACTCTTTATGGCTTTATCTACTCAAAACACTTTATCTCAGTTGTGTTACTTTTGTGCAGGAAGTCATGTTCATCATATTATTGAGGAAGTTATTCAACAGAAGTTTTCAAATAAAGATAAATGCTTTTAAAATTTTTATTTATCTATCTACCTATTTAGTTAAGTTTATTTTTTTCAAGTAGGTTCCATGCCCAATGTGGGGCTTGAACTCACGACCTGGAGATTGAGAGTCCCGAGCTCTGTGGACTGAGTCAGTCAGGCCCCTGGCTTTTAAAATTTTTAAATCATTTGCCTTTAGCATTATGTTTTGGTTTAATGCTGTTTTTTTTCCTTTGCCCTCAGAAGGAAAAATATGTGCAAAGGAAATGTTTTGTCATTTAGCGTGAGAAACCAAATAGTCTATCTTAGATGTAACCATTTTAACATCCTAGAAAACATCTCCAGCTAAAATTCAAGAAAACTTAAAGTCCTTTTCAGTTTGCCAACTAGTTATTTACCTCTTTAAAAACGATTATAGAAATTTTTGTACTTAAATATGAAACTAAAGTGATTTATTAGACGTAGAATGACAGCTCTCAAAATTATTTCTATACAGTTCTGTAAAAAACAACTTGTTAACTGAAGGTTAAGTAGATATTTTCAGCATATGTGAAAGTTGTCCTTTGATTCATTGTTAGCATTTTGCTTCGAAACTTTGTGACCGCAAAAGGATAGAATATTAATGGAGCACAAGATTGTGCACTTAAGTGAATTTTAAGCTTTGTTTTTGTCTTCAGATAATAAAGCTGTTACCAAAAGATTTTTTTTTTAAGAGGAAGCTTGAAACAAGTCTTCAGTGTTAAGAGAGTTGTAATGATATTTTTCTTTTCTTCCATGTGGGCGAGCCTTTTGGCTCTCTTCCTTGTGTCTTGAATCAGTAGCATGGCTATGGGAGTCCATATTTGGTACTTTGACAAAAGTGGTTAAAAAGTCAGCCCTTCTGTTAGCATAACATTTACTATTATAATTTGAGTTCTGTTAATGTGTGTGGTAGAGTAAGAAGATGCAGACAAAGTCTCTAACTCTATCCAGCGATCTTAAAATCTACTTATATTTACTTTCTGATGAGGGGTCTGTTTTAAACAACTTGATATAAAGTGGAATGATTTAGGCGGTACCTATAAACATAAATTGGTTTGATAGGACAGTGTTTAATTTATTGAGCCTTTGGAAAAAAATAGTTTTTGCTGAATTTAGCTAGTTTAAAAGAAAATGTTTTTAAAAATTAGTTTTTATAACTGACCCTGGATCATCTTTGAAATGAGTGTGGAATATTTTGTTGTGATACACATAATTTTTAGGCCAGAAATGTTATCCTCTCTTATCCCTCTCAAAAAGTAACATATGCAATATTTAAAAAGTTATTCATGATTATATACATTACTTATTTTCAAAATGGAGTTGAGATGACTATGCATTTGGGGTTATTTCCTTTTGAATCTAAAATGTTACATAGTGGAATATTATGTATATATTTTTAAAGATCTTATTTATTTTGAGAGAGAGAGAAAGCAGGGGAGGGACAGAGGCAGCGGGAGAGAGAGAATCTCAAGCTGACTCCACACTGATGTG